CAGAAATTGCAGATAGAGAATTACACATAGGCCTATTAATAATATAAATAATATTAATAATAATATTATAAAAAAAAGATAAGTGATTAAATTATAATTTAATTGTTTATCAATTTCAACTACAATATATAAATAACATCAAAATTGCACAGAATAACAATAAATAAAATCCCTAGACATTATCATGATAGAGAATTATACATTTTTTCATTCGCTTTGTCTATCGCGCGTGTGACCATTCTTAGCAACTCTCACATTATCGCGACCTAGCACTGCGGCGGTACCGACCTGCGGTCGTATCCGACTGGAAGTAGGACCTGCCCTCTTGTCATTTATTGGTGGAAAGTAATAATGGCCACTTTAGCCAAGTGATTACGACACGTGTGAGAGCGACTACGATTAGACTGACGACCAGATACTGACCACAATAAATTTTTCAACATGTTGAAAACTCCGCGACTATGCACGACCTCTGCCTTGTCATGAGCAAGTTACTCTTAGCTGCTATCACACTATCACGACCTGGCCACGACAATGTTGGTTGTGTACCGATCGCAGTTTAGGTCTTGAGAGTGTGAGAGTAGGATCCATGCGACTGTCCTTCCATTGCACTCCCTCACATACCGTACATATCAATGTTCATGATTGTGTGAGGCGATCACAAGAAGCAACCGCTTCATTCAACATTAGCCGTGCAAAAACCCCAATTCAAAATTCAATTTGACTAACGATTGTTGATAAACGTGCAGTTAACTTGAGTAACGTGAAATTGTATTTCAGATTTCAGATAGCCATCTATCATAATACACAGTTAATGACTGTCCTGAAGGCTTCGACATGAAAGCATTTCGATAATCTGAATGGATATGGCAATTGTTCGTTTAACTATATGGAAGTATTATGGTATTAACCTAAAAAAAATCAGATGGAATATTTCAGGGGAAATGTCATTTATATTTATCACATGTCATCACCGAGATGCAGAATGTGCTAATTGAATATCCGATGATGTGCACTGGTGAATTAACATTGTGATTCAAACTGATGACTTAATTTAAGCAATACCATTTTCATCAAAACAATTTTTGCAAGTATTGAAATTTAATTGTAAACTCGGTTTTATATTTGTTCTGACATAACCGATTCCGGAATTTGCTTTCGAGAAAACTGAACGAGGGTATAGTTAGAAGTGTAGGGCACGTAATGCTTTGAAAATTTGGGGTAAATATGAAACAAAAACATTTAAAAAAAATGATTTTCTCATTTAAAAAAGCAAATAAATTTACATGAGACCCGATTAAAAATTCAATTCATGCAAACAATCCCTAAAATTGATTATTGAATAAAATTGAATATTAAAGCGGCAAATTATACAAAAAAAAAACTGTATTAAGTGCCTGCTGCTAGACGTATACAATATTTCAATTATTAATTAAAAGTTAGAACTTACTTAATTATATAACTTAAGCAATTAAATATAGTATTGCATTTGTCAAGTTATTAAAACGACCACAAAGTACAGTATATTTTAAGTTTGTAGAATCAGGACAATGACAGTTATCTAAACACAACGCGACTTGAGAATAACATTCTAAAATGCAGGCTATTATACAATTTAAACAATTATATATAGCATTTCATTTGTCAAGTTATATTAAAATGACCACAAAGTACCGTACAGTATATTTTAAGTTTGTAGAATCAGGACAATGACAGTTATATAAACACAACGCGACTAGAGAATAACATTCTAAAATGCAGGCTATTATACAACTTAAGCAATTAAATATAGCATTTCATTTGTCAAGTTATTAAAATGACCACAAAGTGATAATAATAAAAAAAAAACTAACTGACCACAAAGTACAGTATATCTTTAAGTCTGACAGTCAGGAATTTTGTAGAATTAGGACAATGACAGTTACATAAATGACAATGAGACTTGAGAATAACAATCTAAAACGTAGGATATTAAGAATCTTGTATCAAGATTTAATTTCAGATACTCTCACAACAAATTCCAAATAAGCCAGATAAACGTCACACCAAAGGTAGTCGACAATACATTAAAATTTGATTTTAGTTTGACGAAAAACTTAATTATGCCCCACTTCAACATGTATACAGTACCTTACAAAGTATTCCATTTAAAAATGAGTACTCAAATCCCCATGACGCCAAACCTAACTTGCTTACGTGTAAGCACATTTCGTGAAAAATAAATGTCCAAACGTATACGCAAGATACATATTACACTATAAATTTAAAGTTGTAATCAAACGTATCAACACATACAGCGGCTTACATTGTCGCTTGACACCCAGTGCAATTATTCTGGTTTGTGAGCCCCATGGTTTTTTTTGTACTCACACTTCTATGTGAGGGAGAAGTATAACACCTGTAACACCTGTATATATA